ACGAAGTACGTTACACCCCTTCGTTTTATCGTGGATGACTGAACAATTGGGTATCTAGGTTTGGTGGTCCGTCTGAAGCTCAAACGCGTGTTTGGCGCCGCAGGAAAAATGCGTCGAACACTATCGTTCACGAAGCTGGACATTTGGTAAGTATTAACGCCGTTCACTAGCGGGAACCTCTCGCTGTTGACTGACGGCCGCATCGCAGATACCTCAAGAAGCGCCACGAGCTTGCGGTAAGATGATGAATTCTTCGCATTTCCTCACAACTCAATTTATTTTGTAGCCGATGAAATACTGGGCTTCTTGTCCAGGCAATATCCCGATCTGTCTTCATCCGAAAACGCCGATGTCAGAGCAAAATTGTAGGCTTGACTATCGTCATTGACTTTTACTTGGGATGTTAAGTAGTAGAATATATTCTTTCTCCGTCTTCGCGGTTATCACGAAACCTTTCAAAGGCTAGAGAGCTCGAAGAAATTGGCACTTCGCAATTAACTGGCACAGACAAGGTGTCCATCATACACATGCGTGGCCACGGCCTATCGCCAAATTCACAGCGCCTCAAACCGGGGTCTCGTGGTCGCAATCGGTTGCACCACCACAGGCTGACGAAAACTGAATAGGCGTGAAGCAACCTTCTAGTGAGACTTGACTCACAATTGAAGGACATACACTGCGCCTGGACAAATCCAGCGTTGGTATCACTAATAGCAGCATCAGCATCAACACCAACACCACCTCAGAAAGAGGGGACTCACCATCCAAAACTCGGGTCGAAGAATTCTAGATTAGTGGCCATGAGCACGGTGTTGGGGTCGGACACGGTGATACCGCATATGTCGTGCCAGAACGAAGCGGCTTCGGCGTATGGGCGTATGCTCCTTGCGCAGACCGTAACCGCATCAGCCACATTTGTTAGTGCAGCGACGGAGAGGGCGATCATCAATGGACGAAGTGTGGAGAACATGGCGTGATGGGCGGCGACGGCGAGAGCTACTTTGCCTTTGGGTTGAGACTGTGTTCTGGGGTTGACAACCTGATAGCGACCCCAATAGCCCGAAGAGAGAGCCCTTTTTATGTTATATCATCCAGGCTTCGTCGACATTTCTGGTCACTTGAGAGCGACATACTGTAGCGGGGACTGACTGCCGTTCTGTGCCTTTCCAGATGAAACTTCGAGCACTCGGTTGTCCCTACCTGTTCCATATTGTCAACATTGTCAACGCTGACACCACAATCAGCGCCCATGCGCGGCTGGCTGCCAACTTACAAAGGCTCACAGTCCAGACAATGGAATCCTCAAAAAGGCATGTCGCCTTCCTGACTGAGAATGTGTGGGAAACTGACGACCTTCGTACCTCAGCCTGTTCCTTGTGCATTCGAGCCCGAAACGCGGCACGCATCTTCACCAAAAGCGCCGGACTTTGACAGGATGAGGTGGACCAGCAATGTACACTCGAACCGTCAGTGAAGATCAGTGCGATATAGATGCGATATGTAAGTGCTAGGTGTTAGTTACTCCAGCATGCAAACCAACATAAAGAAGAGGCGCTCGACATAATTGCAATATTCACAGTGCGAAATCCAAAAAATTGTGGTGAACGAGAAAGCCTAGGGCGAGCACAACCGACCAAATAGGACCAAGATACCAAGAAAGCGTATACGCGAATGGTCTGCACAAATGCCGATGTAGATGCAAATGCTGCCTTCGAGGGGTCTTGAGACATTATGTCGGGCCACATAACCAAGGATGAAAGGTGGAAAGTCTATGTAAGAATGCGAAGTTGATGCTCCTGATAACATATATCCAACCGATAGCAATCAATTGCACTGAGCAGAGGGAAGAAGTGCCATGCATCATAGTAGATAAGTAAATAACGGTTAGATCCTGATATGGGTTAGGAAGAGTCCGCGGATGGATGAAGACGAAGGCGAATGGAATTAGATATTTAAATTGAGAAAGAGGAGATGGTGCACTATGCCTTCGGCGCTACGATGGTTATGGTGGACATCGTCGATTGACGACTTGCAGACTTTCCTCGCACGCTCATACTCCCCCGTTTAGCACTTGCGCTGGGAGTATTACCGCCGTCGAATGTATCATCAAGGTCGTCATCGTCGTGATCGAGTCGATTCTGAGTTATCGTCGTATCCGTCCCTTCAACTAAATGCATGGTGCGGCTTTTCAGCTTCGGCGTTGAAGGCGACTCAGCAAGCACCGTGTCCCTCTTACTTCCAACGTCAAGTCTTAATCGACTAGTATCTACCGCCGTGACGTCGTTGTCTCTCAACTCGCCTTCGCCGTCCGTCCGGTAATCAGTCTCGTCCCCCGATTCTCCTTCTGAGTCTGATGGAGGGACAGGAGTGGAGGATGGGAGTGTCTCTGCAGCAGTGGCAAAAGATTGCATGGAACTAGCACGGGATTCAGGTCGATATGGAGCGGTTGACGGCGCGCGGAAAGAGGTCGGAGGGGCGCCAGTAGCAGGAGCGGGCCCTAACTGAGGTCCTTTGTCCGCCATAATGTCGGTAGGTGCTACTACAACAGTCGGCGTTTTGGCGTTCTGTGCTTGAGTCTGCAATTCTATAGCGGCGCTGGAAGCCGTGGACGGCGGAGACGTGGGGGCAGAGGTGGGTGGCGAAGTCGTTGGCAGCGAAGGTGTATTGGTTGAGCTGGCATTGGTGCTGGTCGAAGACGACGACGTCTCTTCCGCAGCCTCCTTCTTGTCCTCATCGTCCCCCGAATCCTCGCCTAATTGGTGGGCAGCACCGGCGTTTGAGGCGTCCGTCGGTTGAGAGGCCTGTACAACGGTGATCGGCTGACCACTTTCTTGGGAAGAGGATGAAGACGAGTCCCGCGAGTGAGTTGGCATAGGGGGCTCCGGCGCCATAGGCAGCGAGCTCTCGGAGCCACCGCGCTCATGTCGCCTCACATCTGCACTGCTATCAGTCCTCAGTCTACTACCAGCTCCTAGTCTAGTCAAATTGACGTCCGACCCAATTGCCTCTTCAAAGTCCGGCAGGCCTTCTCGAGATGCCAATGCTTCCCGACTCGCTGCAAATGCCACTGCATCAGGTCCATAAGGCTTTCCGAACCGACCACCAACGCTCTCCCTCGACGAAATCAACTTGATCTGCTCCGCTGTCAGTCCGCCCTTAGGGTACGTAAACTCGGTGCGGATGGTCGTATGCGTGAGGGGGGAGGAGATGGAGTTCAGGGAGATCATGGAGGGCGAGTTCAGTTGGTTGAGATTGGAATTCGAGCGGTTGTGTTGGAGATTTGAGAGATTTGAGTGGTTGGAGTGGGTCATCGAGAGGATGGAGCGTTGTCTTGATAGGGTGCGGAACGGTGCGAGGATTATCGAGGAGGAGCCAGAGGGGGTAGGACGGTGGGAGATGCGGGACGTGCTTGTCCTCGGGACAGGCGAAGTGGGAGGGGAGTACACATTGGAGATGGAGGATGAGGTGTTGGAGAGCCCGGACTCGTTACGGGTATGGGTTAGGTCACCGCCGGAGCCCGGGGGGCTCTGAGCTGGCGAGCCGGTCGCGGATTGAGGGGTAACAGATGGAGATGCAGAAGCAGAGATAGTCTGCCAAAGAGACCTAAATGTAGACCGCCTTGGTGCTGATGAAGCGCCTGATCCACTGGTTGATGGCATCTCAGGTGACGCCGACGGATTTAAAGGTGGGGAGTTGGCTAGGTCAGGTCTTGTATCTATGAGGTTTCTCGTTGAGTCGTCGTTGAGGTCGACTACTTCGAAATACGCGGGAGCTTCTCCACGAGGATCCACTGGTGCTATTGGACTCATGTCAGAGGCGATACCAGTTTCAGTAGAGGTGTTTAATGTGTCCGTGCTGGGTCTGGTGGGCATGCCCTCGCCAGGGGGCGCTCGCAGCAGGTCCGGGGAAGCGTCATGATCATCGCCGTCGTCTTGACCATCCGCCAGCAGTGGCATGTCGTTAGGTGAATCGGGCGCCGGCGGGTAAGAGTGGTCCCGCGAATGAGAATGTTGCGACTCGTTGGCATCCTCGTCAACCAGAGGCATGACAATGTTAGTATGAGCTATCGGAGCATCCTCCATGTCTTCTGGTCCACTGTAGAACGATAAGCGGATAGTCTCGAGATGGCAAAATAACGCACCGGTAGATGACCAGCTCCTGCTCGCCAGGTTCCTTCATGTACGCAGGCAAAGACGTCGTGGACACTTGTGAAGGAGTCCGTCGGGGACGCCGAGTTCTCCTGGGTCTGGCACCTGTTCCAGTTGTCGTCGTCGTCGTATTGCCATTGCCGGTTGTTGCATTCGCTGTATTAGCCGTGGAGCCTGCAAGTTGCTCAGCAGTGACTTCTCTAGCCGTCCCTGGACGTGAGGGTGTGTTATTCGTCGACGAGCGAGAGAGAACGGTAGAGAATCCCTGTCGGACTGCGGAGGATCGGCGTGCCCATATGAGTATCGCAAACGCAGAAAGTGCCACGGCTACTACAACGACGGGTATCTGCCACCCATTGTCAGTTCCCATTCTCGGGGGGCAGCATGTCAATCACGTACCCATATTTTCGGAGTCGCACTCTGGGACTCTCTGCGCTCTACTTGGAGTCCAGTGGGCATCGCAAGTGCCACGGCTGGTGCTACCAAAGCCACCCCGACCATTCCTCCTGTCCAACGATGCTGCGCGCTAGTGAACATATTCTGTCTTTACAATTTTGTCGTGAGGGTCATGAAGTGGTGAAGTCTTTAAGGACAACAACACCACGGAACCAATTTACTCAAACTTGATATTTCCTGGAGGCTGTGGCGGGCCTGGTTTCCAAAAGGAGACCTAACACGCCGATGGAACGGCTCCCGCAACCCGTCGCGCCCGCTCTTGGTCTCCTCTAACTGCGCAAAGCCTCGTTTGTTTAAAATTCATCAAACTTGTCATACGCCACGAAGTCGAAGTGAGGTGACTGGTTGACCCTTACTCAGGCAATTAATAAGAAAAAGAAACAAGGCTTCTGGCGAAGGCCTAGCCAGGATTCGAACCTGGGTTACCAGAAAGATTCTGCGTCAGAATCTGGTGTGATAACCACTACACTACTAAGCCAGCTGAACGCCACTTCAAAAGATAGCCTTTAGAGGTGCAGTAAGCAAAATCGATTTGTTCAGCAAGCGCTTGTGCGCGCGGGTGGCGTTCAACCAAGCGCCCGACCACGCAGCAGCAAACAAGAATTTCGAGGATCGTCAACACAACATCGATTTGGGTATCCAACGCCAACATCAAGACCCCAAGAACACCAGAAGACAAAGTGAGTTCTGTTCAGCCGATGGTGACACATCCCGTGTGGATTCAGCTACGAAACATCACTGGAAACGTTATTGGAGAGGTGGATGGCTTTGGGTCACACTGGATGATGCACCAATGGACCCCGATCAGCGATCTGACCAAAGCCTTTGCTTTTCCAGATGGGCCTCCAGGAATACCAGGTCGTGGGCCGCCATCTCCCCAGCGAGTCTGAACCGACTCCCAAAATCTATCGCATGCGTATTTTTGCGCCCAATGAAGTCGTTGCCAAATCCCGATTCTGGTATTTCCTTAGGTATGCTTCCCTATCCTCCTCGAACGAAGAACCCGCTCCAACTACTCGAATACAGGCAATTGAAGAAGGTCAAGAAGGCCAGCGGTGAAATCATCGGTGTCAACGTTGTACGTATTTTTTCACCCAGGCATCCCACAAGTAGTCCCTAGCAGCCATTCAAGAGGCAAGCAGATGGGCAATGCTGACATCCGGGTAGATCCACGAGAAAAAGCCATTGAAGGTCAAGAACTTCGGAATTTGGCTCCGATACGACTCGCGTTCCGGAACGCACAACATGTACAAGGAGTTCCGTGACCTCTCGCGCGCTGATGCCGTGAAGAGCCTCTACCAAGACATGGCCGCCAGGCATCGTGCCCGCTTCCGCTCCATCCACGTGCGCTAGATCTCTCCCATCTCAGCGACTTTCTCTAAATTGTTCACCGTAGATTCTGCGTGTGGTTGAGATCGAGAAGACGGAGGACATCCGTCGCCCATACATCAAGCAACTCTTGACCCCAGGGCTCAAGTTCCCCCTCCCTCATCGTATCAGCAAGGCTCGTTCGACCTTCGTTGCTCACCGCCCCAGCACTTTCTAAGCGTTTACATTGTGATGCCTATGTGTATGTACGTCGCTATGCAAAAGTTATATGCCCTTACGGTCGTCCTCCTATGAACTTGACTTTGCCAATGTGCCTCCCGAGTGCTGTAGAGGAGACTTCGCGTACCAGAAATGACAATGAGGTATGTACACCCAGTTGATTTGATGCCTCCAAACGGAGCTTTGCGGTGCGCCCCAATCCAGACTTGAAGCTTTGAAGGTTACAGCTACGGTTTGCGAATCATGCAAAGTGGATGCCCGAGTTACTGCTGAGTGCTCCTGCATTTCTAAGGCAGTAACAAATCACTAGACTTCGTAGGTAATCGACTACCACAAGACTATTCCTAGAAGCCTTCTCAATGGGATCCAGTCTGAAAGGAAGAAACTTAATCGGCGAGACTGTCGCCCCCCACATCTTCGGGCGTGGCTTCTTGCGAAATACCCACGATGTGACCTGGCTGGGAGTGCCTCCTGCCTTGTCGGTCCATCTCAATGGTCGATACAGGCCAGTCGCATGACGCCTTGCCATGCACCATGTGGGTGTGGTATATTTACTCGATTTTCTTATTTTTATAGACAACGGCAATGCGTTCCTTCGTGGTATGACCTAGGAAGCCGCTGGGAAGGTGCGCGGTCGCTTCTTTTTTGCGTGGACAACACCTCTTATCATCACGAAAGTATGCTGCATGGGAACCTTCCCCTTCTCTCGATATCGCCCCCATAAAAGCTGAACCAGACTGAGGGACAGTTCACTTTGCGACCCATTTCAGCGCAATGGCCGGGTCTTGGTTGCGTGCCATCTCACTGCTTACCTGTATTGGTTATGCGTCTTTCGTTGCTGCTGCACCCCCCGCTGCCGACCCATGTGCGAAAATAGCCGGGAAGAGTTTCATTCTTCCGACCGATGCTCTTGCCTGCCAGAAAGCTTTCCCCTTCAACGAAACCCTTCGACAGAACGTCTTGTCCAACATCGCAGGGGTTTTCGACTTCTTCACTTTCGAAGACTATTACTTGAAATCCCCTCCTCCGTTCCAGGAGTCCACGGTGGACATCAGAGCCACACTCGCGAGACTCAACAGGACAAGATTTGCGGTACGGATGCGTATTCGCCATTAACAATATATGACTTATCTACCTTTCGTAGACTGATTATGACTTCAATTGGGCTATATACCAATTTACAACACAGCTGAACGATGGTCACACTCGTACGCATCCATTGAATATTTCTCTCCGAAAGAATTCACATTGTCTTTCAAGGCTGGTTTCCGAATTGCTACACCAATTTCCAGAACATCATTCCGACGCCTCTCGTGTCTTTGGAAGAGAACGGGATCCAAAGCATCTTTGTAGCACCCGACGCGGTTGAATTCAGCAACTTGATTGGCACAGAATTCACTAGCTTCTTCGACTCAATTGGCTTTGACTGGAAGCGCCTTGCTGGTGCCAAAGTCGTTCAGATCGAAGACCAGGATCCATACGATTACGCCGATTTCGTGGCCAAGACCGTCTCCGGAAACTACTTGGATCACGGCGTGCGAGTCAATTCGGCGTTCAGCAGCTATAGAATTTCGGGAAATGCATTCTCGCAGCGGATTGGAGACATGGCAGGCCCCACTGGGAGCGTGCAGACCTCGCTGAAACTTAAACTCATCCCCGTAAACTCCACGCGAGCCGAGACTGTCAGCGTGCCTTTCCTGACGAACTTCTTGGGGAGCCCTTTCACCGACAAGGCTTCCTTGTGAGTAATTCAGGTTGGCCCGAGATGATCGTGATCGTTTATAATCTATTTTATCTAGCTGGGTTAATAATTGCGCTGCAACGGACGCTACGAATGGTATTGACTTCAAGGGTGCCAGTTTCTCTCCGCCCCCGCGACGCCTCCCTCGTGCCGATATTATCGACAAAGGCGAGAGTAGCGCCGTAGGCTTACCTCACGAGTTTGAGCCTACATTACCTCCAGTCAATGGCAGCACTGGCGTGATTAAGTCTTTTATCTTACCTGACTCTAAGACAGGCGTGGTACGTATTTGTCATTGGTATCATGCAAAAGTTCTCATCAAGAACAGATGTTTGTCGGTTCCTTTGGAGGCGACTTCAATGGATTCCAACACGACGTTGTAGCAGCTGTCACCCAGTTCAAAGCAGCAGGCGTGACGCACTTGCTCATTGACTTGACAGATAATGGTGGTATGTGTATCTTGATCTTCGTCAATTGGTGTTATGCTCCAACAATGTTTAGGCGGATTTGTTTGCTTGGGACAATTCTTGCACCAATATTTAGCTGGCTCCAAAATTGGCTACCCGTGAGCTCCTGTACAACGACCTCTGGTCTCAGTCTCTAATTAAAGCCACAGAGGCTTTGTGTCTACGACCAGAGGCAACCCTTTGGCTCAGAAGATTGTTGCAGGGGATATCGCATTCGGCCTCAATGGTAACTTCGCATTCTACACAGCCGATAATTGTGAGTGAGGCTTCGTGGTTTGTTTCCGAGGTTATAGGAGATAGGAGATTGATTAAAGCATTTAGGGGCGTTTTTGAACGACACGCAAATGCCCGCTAGCTTCAATTATTTGTCGCCAGTGGCTCCCTTCGTTGTAAATGGCCGCCCTGACCCCACATCACAGAGATTTCATGTACGGGAAAGGCTATATTGCTGTGATACCCACCCCAGCTAACAACGAGAACAGGATACATGCGATCTTGCATTTGTTGAGAGCGTACCAGAAGATCCTCCCTTCGATTTGAAGTAAGTGTTGATCTTCGTGATGATAGTGTGGGCTATTGATTGACATGTATGGCTATCAGCAACGTCGCTATAGGTACGTTGGCTGACACTGGTTTGAACGGCTGTCGCTGAGCGTGCGTTGCAGTCAGCAATGGACAATGTGCCTCGACCTGCGCCATGTTCAGTACATTGATGAATGAGAGGCATAATACTAAAATAGCTGTCTTTGGCGGAAGACCTGGACAGAGCATTGAATTCAAAGGTACGCCCGTTCGGAACCTGCGTTGCTTAGGGTGTTTGATAACAGCGCCGCTTTGTCTAGGGATGTCTGGAAACCAAGTTCTAGAATGGTTCGACCTTGATTCAGAAATCAAGACTGGTGGGGTGAAAGACGTATGTTTGCGATGTTTGTGCGGGTCATTATGTCGGATGTTTACTGATGGACGTTGTAGGACCCCCTAGCTCCCCCTGACCTGTATGTTGCTGTGCGCATCTTCCGTCGATGTTTCTGCTAACAATCAATCCGCAGTTTGGTTTCGGCAAATATGCGGTATGTCTATATTTGCTGATCCGTGGAATTTCGACTCATCTTCTCCACAGAGTCAACTGGAGGACTGGTACGTGTCACAATGATGTGCATTATTCTCCAGGGGTAACATGTTTCACTCTCCTACTTCAGCTTGGAGCTTCTTCGATGACCAGAGGCCTATTGGTACGTTTTGACATCCCTGGTAATTGGAGACTGGCATTGAATGCAAATAATCACCTCTTTATAGCCTACGTCTCGGAATTGCCGAAGTGTGAGTGGCGTGTGATGTTACCGTTCGCGGACCTGACGCCGATGATGAAATTACAGTCCGTTTCGCGTACACCAAGGACACGTACAACAACCCACAGAACCTCTGGACATTCGCGTATGCTTTTCTTCATATTCTTTGGCGTGCGAGATGTCTAATCAACTGCCCACCGCCCAGTGCGAGCAAACTATTTGCTTGATTCGAACGGTCCGGAAAACTTTCGATTTCAATGTGGTTATTATGGATATAAATCTATTCAACTATCTCCGAGTCCGAGAAGGAGAAGTGATCGAATGCTAGTCGTTTCATTGTAATACCATGAAGAACCGCCCGGAGTTATGCATATACTATGATGAAAATATGGGCTTCGGTCTAAAGTCGGGGTGCATGAAAGCCCACATTCAA